CGTCCATTGGTCGGTACTTTTGGTGGTTGGAGTACCATATGGATTGGTAGAGTGTATCGACCCCCTTATCGGATCTGAGAGTTTAGGTAGTTTGAGTGGCTCGTTGTCACTCACTTCGCCTTTTACCTTTGAATATTCCAACGTTTTGGTTTCGATCGGTTTTGAAGTAGTTGAGATACAACAAAGAATTCTTTAGTCAAAGTCTCCTGTTGCCCACAAGTTTGTGTGCATCTACTCGTGTTTGATCTCTCTCGTTTGCAGATATCTACATTTTACCCGTACGCAGTGCCCGTTCGTGCTATGTGACTAACATACCCCCGAGAGGATGTCGTCTCCACCCGGAACGGCTGGTCTGGTGCTCCGACGTACCGTCTCTCAAGAGATGCAATACGCACCCACGATGTCGTTGCCGTTTGCGGCCTATCCCCCAGAAATCGCTGCCGTTCAGCGGTTGGGTCAGCACCTGGGCAACCCAGTGCAGGCAGCTGTCCACGAACAATCCGCGCGGATGGACGACGTGCAGAATGCTGTCGGCGCCCAGACGCGACATACCTACGAGCAGATGGTGCACCTGCACCATCAACAACAGCTGCATTCGCAGCAGCAAATGGAAATGAACAATCGGTTGATGGCTGAGCTAGAGGTGCAGCGCCGCCGGCAAGAAGTCCTCGTTGAGCAGCTGCACGTACAGAAGAAGCAGACTGAGGCCCACGAGCAAGGTTTGCACCAAGCTGCTGCCGCGTCTGTCAAGCACGGCGAGCAGCTGGAGGAGATGCGACGTCGGACTAGCGCCCGTTGGCATGCGTTTTCGGCGACCCCGGTGCCGGCTGTGCAGCTCCAACGACTTCCCCCGCAGTCGTGGGCGTTCAAGTCGTCTATGGGTTCCAAGAGGTACCCAAGGCCCCGTCGTTCAATGGCAGCACAAAGGTGCAGATGCGCAAGTTCAGTGACCAGTACAAGGCGTACGCTCGTGAAGTCAACATAGCGAACGCCCAGCGCCCCGGTGGTGCCCAGATCCAGCGCGCGCCGCTGAGCGCATGCATCGATCCGTTATCGGTCGAGCGCATCGCTTACTGGGAGATCGGGAAGGCCAGCCACGAGCTGACGGAGGAGGACTGGAAGGTTTTCTTCCTTGGTGCCAAGGACTGCGATCCTGCGGACATGTCCAAGTTGGACGCCGCGATCGCCAAGCTCAAGATGGACACGACCGTGCAGTCGGCCGAGTCCCAGGTGTCAAAATTGGTCTCGGATTTCGAGGCGGTACTCGTGCGCCTCGCAATGGAGGGGTTTGCGGAGGCCGAGCCTAAACTAACTGTGGACTATCTCGTCGCGGCCGTCCAGCCACCGGCCGTGCGCACCCGTGTCAAGGAACGCATGAAGTTGAACGAGAACCGCAGCCTCAAGAAGGACGCCCGCGATTTCAAGCGCTGGCTGGCGGACGACATGCGTCGCTACGGCGAGTTTGAGCTGCTGATGGCCGCGGCGGTGCCCGCCACCGCCAAGCCCGACAAGTTGCCCGCGGCGACCAAGACCCCCAAGGCTGGGAAGGCCCCCAAGGTCGTGGCTGTCGCGAACGTCGACAAGATCCCGAAGTCGAACTTCACCCAAGAGAAGCGTGCGTGTTTCAAGTACCTGAGCACCGAGCACAATGTGTTCAAGTGCCCTAAGGTCGCTGACGGCGAAGCCAAGCTCCTGATGGAACGTGCCCGTTCCATCTGGAAAGAAACCAAGTCGGTAACCGTCGTCGAGACGGTCGACGTTGCCGAGGTGTCCCTCGACAATGCCGTGATGTGCGCTGCCCGCGTTGTGTGTGTGGCTGGTCAGGCCGTCTCGTTGGACGCGTCCTTCGACAGCGGCGCCGATCAAAGTGTGGTGCCCCCCGCGACGCTGTCCAAACTCAAAAAGCAAGGCCGCAACGTCCTCGTGACCAAGCTCAAGACCC